GTTGAATTTAAAAGCAACATCTTTGGTGTTTTAAAGTGGACTGTGCTCATACTCCTATGCCTCAATAAAATCATAAATCTGACATGCTTTCACTCCATACCCTACTTTATATGATTTGTACCAAAGCCAGTAAAATAATTCCTCAGCCTTCATGTGTAATCTCTAACTGAATATACATGCTGCTCCCAAATAGCTTTGCTAGCTCCTATGACTCTAAGACCCGCGCTGTTTTGAACACCAAGTCTACCACTAATGCTTAAGCACAACACACTTTAAATCATTAATATATTCAAAAAGTGATACTCCACAATGCAGTGTGAAGAGAAATGGAGACACACATTTCACTTGACAACAGCTCAGTCAACAGAAAAACAGAACTCAAATAAATACAGCAATGCACCACACTACAGCATATGTGAAACAGACCACAAAGAAATGACCATACGTGGTCTTACTCTCTAAGCACACAAAGGCTATTAAACAAAGGTAGAAAGTTTATCATTAAGCAGGCCTGTGATTCGCTTTATTTCCCACAGTAATTTTATAAAGGTATTGGGAGCTCAAAACAAGGATTGATTGAAGGACATCAGAGGACAGTATCTGGCTTTCTGTAACACCCCCAAGGCAACAGTATGCTAGCCTGGCTGCATTCTTAAACCTGAATTTTAAGGGACAGCTCAGAGGGTGGATTAACCATTGGCAGACATGCTTTACCACAAGAAAAACCAGTCCACCTCACTTGGAGGGTGCTATACCTCTACACCTTCCACTTTGTGAAGGCGAAGGCCAGTATTTCAAGTCTGAATGCCCAGAACTAGGTAGAGCATGATGCCAATATTGAGAAGGGTTGAGCACACCCTGCTTTTCTGTCTGAAATTAAAGCACATGAATTGAAAGGTTACACCCCACCTCGATTCACTGAATGAGGGCTGTATCTGAAGAAATCAGGGGAGTAGCAGCATTGCCTTCCTGTAGCACCTACCCAGCGAAACAGCACCTCTATTTGATGACATTTGTCAGTTTCCTTTACAATAAGGACTTCTCAGAATGTCACCATTTAAAAACCTGAGCCCAGACTTTGCAATTGAGAACTGATCATGGACTACCCCTAGCTCTGAAAACTCTCTTCAGTGTGATCAGCAATAGGAAGAAACTTAGTTTTGCAGGAAGTTCTAGCTTCTGATGAATATGTTTGATAAAAGTAGTACTAATTCATATACTTCTACTATGGAGCTTGTTGGACAAATTTCTGGAGGTAATGCCAGCATTGCACTGATGTCCCACTTCTTAACTTGCTTGTCACATTTTATAAAAAAACAGTTAATGGGCAACATCCAGAAGCAATGAACATTTGCCAAGGGAAGACTCCTTCAAAACCTTTGAAATAAATATCTGTACTCTCCCTCCATGGTTTTTTTGTGTGTTTGTTTGTTTCTTTCTTTTTATTTTTTTTTCTTTAAGAAATGCACAAAAAATCTACTTGCTTTTGTGCACCTACTGACAAAATGAACTCTATAAAATATGACTAAAATAATTCTAGGTGAAGCAATACAAGCTTAGCTACAGAGCTGTCATAAACAGTTCTGTTACATTACACCCTTTATTACAAATTTATCATGCTTGATATGCATAGCTATGCATATAAGCTAATACAAAGAAAGTGAACAGTCACCATTTCAGAACATGTGTGTTTGAGAACGAGAACATCTCTTACTCCATGGAATGAAGAAAATATTGTCCTCACAAAATCATTAGCAAAGTTATTAATAAATTTATTACAATAATTCATAGAGTATTAGGTTGGCATTATGTCATAAATGTAACTTAAACTAGCAAAAATGCACTTGACTCAAAGTTAATACTTTTGTGGTATCCTAAAAATTCTCTTTTAGGTATTGATTTGTAATCTGATTTGTTATACCTAACCCAAATTTGCCAAGTTGGGTTTTGTGGTTTTTCTTTTTTAAAGACACTTTGGGAATAAATCCCAGATACTTTACCAACAAATATATTCCCAAATATTGATAAATTCTGTGTCCATAAATGCTACAATCCCCACAACTGTAACTGTACCAGAGTAAGAGATAACATCTGATTGTATTTTATTTATAGGATATTATTATGTCAGAACGTGCCACTGAAGAAGTGCCTTCCCAGCTTCAGGCAACTATGTTGGTTAGTATCATGAAGCATTAACAGACCTGAAATAACTGTCCTTGTATAGCAAAAGCATTACCATATTTTCTCTTCCATTACTCTCGATATAACACTGCAATATTTCACCTTTTTTTTTTTTATGTGTCTATAATCATAGGATATACCCTTTTTGGTATATATCCATAGATGTAAAATCTATGCCTTTTCCTGAAATGCTTAGAAACCCACCAACACATACAGAAGTTCAAAATACTTTTTCCAACATACTGAAATACCTCTATTATACTGCTCCCTGGTTAAAACTAGTGATGTGTAGAAGGAATGACTGTTAAATTCTGTAGACACTCATTAACCAGGCTGCCCAGCTCTTTCTCCCACAACACTAGGAATGGTGTGAATCCACAGGCATCTTAGGGAATTTTTCTGGGTTTTCTAGATACCTTTTCTAAAAAATAAGTATATTATTGACTTCCTAATAATATCCAGCCACTGACTGGAGCCATCCTCAGCCTGATTTATAAATGAGCACAGTCCCAAAGTGGCAGACATCCTTTTCACCCATACAGATGTGGACCACAATGGCCCTCCTACTGAAGACCTATCTGTTCTGTGATCCAGGAAATTAACATTCAAATACACCAGAGCACAGAGCAGCAGAATCTGCTTTTATCTGAGTGGAGTCCAGTAGTTTACCCTCTCAATAACAGTGGCTTTCAGAACTAGAAAACCCCAAATCTGCTTTTTTTTTGCTTTAGTACAGAATTAAGGAACTCCTTAGGTCCTTCAGGTCAACTGCAGATGGATGATGAACAAGTGCAAGTGGATTTGTGTCATCCTAAGGAAAACACAAGGGTGTACCCATTATACTACTGGTAATAGGGGAGAGGCTGCAAGACAACAAAGAGGGAAACACATGACAATTAAAAAGGATCAATTTTAAGCACCATCCATATCCTTCACATATCAGTTATCTGCAGGTTGCTATGCAGCACACACCTCTGTAGTGCCTGCATTTGTAAAATTCCAGTTACATTGCAGCTGCTGCTCTCAATTGTTTTGTCTTTGAAGAAAAATGGAGAACTGCCATAAAAGTGCATGTGCCACTACATGGCACCTATTTGAATGAATAGGAAATCTGAAAGCAGAATCTATGCTAATTAGCCAGCTATTCTGAGGGTAGGTAGGGAGTCTTAAGGGTACTGACATAAATTAAAGTAGAAAATTCAGCTTCTTTTGAAGACATTAAAGCTTAATTCATACAAAGGCCAGCAAGTGTGAACATTTTCAGGTTTCAAGACTGTCCTGGTTTCAGCTGGGATAGAATTAATTTTCTTCCTAGTAGCTGGTACAGCGCTGTGTTTGGAATTCACTGTGAGAATAATGTTGATGACCCACTGATGTTTTAGTTGTTGATAAGTAGCACTTATCATAAATTTGGGATTTTTCAGTTTCCCATGGTCGCCAGTAAGTAGGTACACAAGAAGCTGGGAGGGAGCATGGCCAGGACAGCCAGCCTGAACTAGCCACAGGGATATTCCATACCATTGGATATCATGCTCAATATATAGACTTGGGGGTGCTGGCTTGGTGGTGGATTGCTGATCAGGCATCGATCTGTGGGTGGTGAGCAACTGCACTGTGCATCACTCATCTTTTATTGTGTTTTATTTCTCTCTGTTTTTGTTATACTATTTTATTATTATTATTGCTATTGGTATTATTATATTTAATTCTATTTTAGTTATTAAATTGTTCATATCTCAACCCATGTGATTTACTTTTTTTTTGTTTCTCCTCCCCAACCCACTGGGAGAGGTGAGAAGTGAGCAAGTGGCTGCGTGGTGCTTAACTGCTGACTGGGATTAAACCACAACAAAGACAAATTCATAAATTCTAAGTGAGAACTAGAATGCTACCCCAACCACAATATCACCAGTGCAATGCTGTAAAGCAGAGCTTGTCCTGTTCCATACCTTCTAAATTTTACAGCCTTTGCCTGCCCTAAGGGACCAGTCATTAAAAGGTCACTTTAGATCAGAAATGTATTACTTTCTCCCTTGTTGCAAGTTTATATGAAGTAAAAGCCTAATGTTGACACCTCCTCACAGTAGGGTATTTATTGTCTGTTCCAGAGAGGAACCCACCCTTTTCTTTCTCTACTCATCTGTCTATAAAAGATGCTTCTGAAAAGTCTGCTAGGAGTATGATTAAAATCCTAACTATCAGGAGCAAATGATGCTTGAAACAGATAAGCCAACATGGTAGACAAATATTTTTGGTCAGACATGGTAGACAAGTATTTTCAGGAAAGCAAACTTCCACAGAAACAGTCTTTATTCTTAGGTAAGCCTGTTACTTTCGATAGATTCTCCTCATCAGAGCAAGGATTCTAGGAACTCCTCCTCCTCCACACAACTGGCATCATTCACAGAACTGCCCTTTTTAGAAGAAAAAATAATAAATAACACTCTGATTTACTGCAACCTTTCCTGAATGTACTGAATTCTTGAACACCTGAGCACAAAGACTTAGGGTATAAATACAAGTATTTAAGCCAATTTCCTTTTTGCTCACAAGAAGCATGAAATTCAAATAAACAAGATCAAAACAGCAATATTATTTATAGCCATCTGCCATATGCTCATTTGTCATAATGTTGACAGATTTATAAACTGAGTAGACTTGAACAGGCAATACAAGTTTGAACAGCCAGCAGACACATCCTTCAGTTTGAACAATCTGTCAGTAGACAGGAGAAAGGAATGAGAAAATACAAATATGGTGCGCAACCCCACAGACTGGGAACACTCACCATGTATGAAGAAAAACCAAACACCACTTACTTCAGATTTGGAGGACATGTTTTCCTCTACATCAGAATCATTGGGATCTACAATATCATCAAATGGTGGCAGAGTAGGCATCTTCCTTTCCAGTGCAACATTTTCAATTTTGACTCTCCCCACCTTGAGTTGAAATCTATCTTTTGTCTGTTTTTTGTCAGCTGAACAAGTAAGAATCAGGGGTGGGGCACTAGAAAAACTTTTAAATAGTGTATTTGAGCCACTTTTTTTTCTTTTTTTTATGGAAGGTTCATCAGAGTCCAAAACAGAAGGCCTTTTTGTGGGGGTCTTCTTTTCTTGCTGCTGCCCACCTGTTATGGTAAGGATGGGGGTGTTTTCAGATTTTGGCTCCTTGGACATAGGTTTGGGTTCCATGAAGGCCATCTTAGAAACTATTTTTTCATCTTTTAGTGGTTTGTTTTCTTTGGGTTTCTTAGAGAATTCTTTGGAAGATTTGTTGTGTTCCCTGGAAGGTTCTTTGAAGGCACTTTTATGTTCTTTTGAGTCTTTAGAAGTCTTTTCCTTGTGCTCCTTTCTTAACTTGTGGGTCTTTGAAAAACTGTTACTGCTGCTGCTGCTATTTGTGTTCAGAATCCTAGTTGGGTCCTGCGAAAAGTAGATATAAAATGTTATTAAAAAAAAAAAAACAACAAACCTTAAAACCCCAAAAGACAGACATAATATGGACACAGGATTCATATTAAAAACTTGGTACTGCAGGTTGAAAATGAGAAACTGCAAATATCTATGTAAGAACAGATACAAACCACATCATTTTGGTCAATTTATCTGTTACAAGATGGTTTACCATGAGCAGTTACCACTGCTTGTCAGTATCTGCAAGACAAATTAGTTTCTATCTTAAGAATTAGATATGTTTTTTAGGAATCATCGTAAGATGAACACAACGACAAGTTTAGGAAATGTTAACCATGACCATTAGCTACTAGAAAAAAAACCCGCATATAGAAAGATTGGTATATGAACCATATACTGTCAACAGAATTAACTCAGGATCAAAGCAAAACATGTGCTCCTGATGACATTTCAGGCCAAGTTTGACTTCTCTACTGTGATCCTCTCTCCAGCTTTTGCCAGATCCTTTTCCTCACACACAATAACTACTCGAGGTCTATACTGGCTATGGAAGACTTGATTTGACACACAACTTCTCAGCAATGTCATTTTATGGAAAACCTACTACACTAAAAAAGCTTTCTTCTTTGTATTTAAGCTGCTGTCTCTGCTGACTATTTAACTGCATTTTTTAAAATTCAACTGTCATAACCAAGAAGGATTTCTGAGAGGGTGATGACCCAGAGGTCCTATAAGATAGGCAAAAGCAGAAAGAGCAGAGCAGTATCATTCCTCACTCAGTTGAATCTGAAATGTTGAAGTGACAAGGAAGGTGGTGACCTGCAGCTAAAACTGGCAATAAGAGAACTGAACCACCCAGAATGGGTCGTATAGGATTCTTTCTTCTGAGAATTAGCATCCAGGAATTTCCAAAAGATAAGGATAGCTCCAGCACTGCCCACTTTCACTGAAACGGCTAGCAGTGGGCATTCAGCATATCAAAAATAACCAGTAGACTAATGGCACTGTTATAAACACTAAACACCTGTAGCACTCTCTTCAGAAACAAGCATCATTTTTATTCTACTTAAAATCTGCCAAGTGACATTTCAATTTACAGGGACCTACAGTCAGTAAGTTTAGGTTGCTTACTTTCTTTCAAGCTGATTATAAACATTTCTATCTATATATACTGCTGAAACAAAAAAGGGGCCCAAACAATAGGCCTCAAACCAAGGTTGACTTCTGAGTGAATCCCCCGACCAGCAATCAGCATCTTATCAGCAGCATGAAGCAACCAGCATCTTATCAGCATGAAAATGCAACCCTGGGAACAATCCCTGGGAACTGTAAGTAACTATAAATCCCAAATGTAAAGAAAAACACAAACTCCTCAGACGTGCCCGGATCCTGGCCAGATCCGGACACGCCTGAGTGAGGCATGTCAATCTACCAGCTATCTCCTGTGCCTTTCGTATAGATTTGTTTGTTAAACTGTATAAAAGCCGGACCCTCTCACAGCACAGACGGAGACCTCACCTACGAGCGGACGCCCTGCGTAGGACTTCCCAATTGCCAGGAAAGGCTCTCTGACCCTTCGCTGTGACGGGGCTCCCCAGCTGATGCACGGGTCAGGGTGATGGTAAAGTATGAGGGCAATTGGTGATGTATCTTTCTTAATCACTATAGCTAGCTTTATGTAGTAATGATGGTGCATTACCTTGCTTATTCTTTCTGCTGCTTTAAATTAAAGGAAAATAGCCTATTTCTTTAGCTTGGTGTCTGTGTCCTTTGTGTTAAACCCGTCAATTGGCAAAACAAATTTAGTGTCACGGACAGGATAAGACAAAAATGTCATTTTTAAAATCTAAACGTAATGAATCAGCTCCATCTGAAATTCCTGGATGGGAAGACCTTCCCTATAGTTCACTGGCTCTTGAGTAGGCTAAGGTCGGAGGACCATGCGAACAGTGGGAAAGTCAGCTAAAAGAAGCTGAACCACTGGATGTATTAAAATGTATCCAAAAATTATCTATGGAAAAAGGAAAAGAAATTGTGTGTTCAGGAAGACAGGGATGGGTTTTATCAACAGCATATTGGAAACAGCACCAACAGAAAGAAAAACTGTTGTTAGAGCGCTCCCACATGGAGCGACAGATGTGTGATTGGCAGAATCAAATTGTAATGTTACAGTGTCAAAACAAGTTGCTTGCCGATAAGTTGGATGCTTATCAGACTGTAGCTGAAAGAGCTGCAGTAACGGTGGCACAGTGTAAGAAAAGAAGGGGACGAGTAAACCATAGGAAAGTGCATGCTGTGACTGCAGAAGCAGGGTTACAGTGGGATCCTGACAGATGGGATGGAGATATTTGGGATTCTACGATATCTGATGAGGCTGGTTCCTCAGATGAACCTGTGGATGTAAAACCAGTGTGGAGACGGAAAATAGAATTGGATACTAATGGCCAACAAGTAAGGAATGATGTGACTGAGGATTATACTCAGCATGAAATAAATGATATAATTGAAAGATTTAAGCAGAGACTGGGGGAACCCCTGCTCTCTTGGATGGTGCATTTGCACGATCAGGGAGCAGCAGGGGTAACCCTAGATCCAGAGGACTCTAGGAAGTTTTTAGTTTTCAGTTCTGAATCCTCTGTGCAAGACGCATTCCAAAATAATCCTCAGGATACAAATTTGTTAACCTTGGCCGCCCGGGGATGTAATAATAAATACCCCACAGAGAATACTTTGGCCAGGTGGGGAACGTCCCTGGTATACTTTGCGAGACTGTATACAGCGGATGAAGGAGGAAGCGATGAAATTGGCAATCTTTATAGGAGACCCTGACAGAATGATGCAAGCTGCTTTGTCTGTCACTCATAGAAACCGATTGATTAAGACTGCCCCACCAGCATATAAAAATGTAATAATGACTCTCTTAATTAATGAGACCGGAAATCCCATTGATGAGATAATTGAAAAAATACAGCAGCTAGGTGATCTTGGAGAATGGGGCCCCCGAGGAAGTGCAGGAAACCGAGATACTCAGGACAGCCCTAAAGGAAGTGAGAACAGAGTTTCTCTCACAAGGAAATGTTTACAGCTTTATTGAAGGATGACATATCTAATGAAAAGATTGATGGTGTTCCAACTAACGAGCTGTGGTGAAAATACAAACATAGAGGGCTGAATAAGCCTAGCAGGAGAGTTCAAAGTTCTGAAACTAAGAATCCAGGGGTAACTCAGCCTACAGCACCTCCTCCTGAGCCTCAACAGGACTTCCCATCTGCAGACGGTGGGCCCTCCGCGGGCAGATCAGTTGTTCCGAGGGAAAGGGAGGATTGGGAGACGTATTCTGATTTATACCAATGAAAGGAGTAGTAAACAGGAATGAAATTATGGCCAAGCTCCAGTGCAATGGGCACGGAAGGACCGACGGCCCCATGCGGAGGTCCAAATATTTTGGAAAAACCGGTCCTCACAAACAGTAAAAGCCTTAATTGACACAGGAGTGGAGGCCTCCTTGATATATGGGAATCCAAAGAAATTTAAAGGACAACCTGTAATTATTACAGGTCTGGGAGGGAAACAAACTGAAACTGTACAAACTCAAATTGAAATGAAAATAGGAAACCTCCCAAAACGACTGTATTCAGTCATGATTGTCCCCATTCCTGAATACATAATAGGAATAGACATTTTGAAGGGACTAACTTTGAATCTCCCAGACGGTCAGTACCAGTTTGGGGTGAAAAATCATATCAGTATTAGAACAATTTTAGTAGGAAAAGTGAAAATGCCTCCTGTACAGATTCCTGCTGCTACTAAATTACTGACTGTGAAACAATATAAATTCCAGGAGGGCATGAGGAGATATCACAGACAATTAAAGATTTATTAGATGCAGGAGTATTGAAACCAGTTACCACAGCTTGGAACAATCCTGTATGGCCTGTCAATAAAAGTGATGGGTCGTGGAGAATGACAGTAGATTTTAGGGAATTAAATAAACATAACCCACCGCTTACACCAGCTGTACCAAACACTGTTACTTTAATAGAAAAGGTTCAAAAGCATCCAGGGACTTGGTATGCTCTAATAGATTTAGCTAACGCCTTTTTCACTATCCCAATAGCAGAGGAAAATTGGGACCAATTTGCCTTCACCTGGCAGGGACGACAATATACCTTTACCAGACTGCCTCAGGGATGGCTGCATAGTCCAAACATTTGCCATCGGACAGTGGCTGAGCATCTGGATAAGATAAAATTGCCTCCTCATATGCAAATAGTGCATTATATTGATGATATCCTAATTCAGGGAAATAATGAGAAGGAAGTGCAACAAATACTTCAACAGGTGGTAGATCATATGAGACAGAAAAGTTGGGAAATTAATCCTAGCAAGATTCAAGAACCATCCCAAATGGTAGAATTTTTAGGAATTCAATGGCATTGTGGGCATCGGGAAGTATTACCCAAAGCTCGACAGAAAATTTTGGATTTTGCAGTACCACAAAATAAAAATGAGGCACAGAGATTTATTGGATTGTTTGGCTTTTGGCAGCAGCATATTCCCCATTTAGGACAGATTCTGACTCCTTTGTATAAAGTAACAAGGAAAAAATATGAGTTTGAATGGGGGAATGAACAGCAAGCTGCTTTTGAGTCAGCAAAGGAAGCTATTCAAAAGGCCCTAGATTTGTGGCCATTGCAGGAGGGAGAAGTGGAGTTAAACATGTCAGTAAATGGATTACATGCCAATTGGAGCCTATGGCAAAAACAGGGAAGGAAAAAGGTTCCCTTAGGTTTTTGGGGACAAAAGCTGCCAGAGGCAGGAAACAATTACACACCTTTTGAGAGACAACTACTAGCATGTTATTGGGCGTTGGTAGAAACAGAGCAGCTTACAATAGGACATGAAGTGTCCCTTCGTCCTGAAATTCCTATCATGCAATGGGTTAAAAGCTCTCCTAAAACCCATCGAATTGGGCATGCTCAAGAATTGAGTATCATAAAGTGGAAATG